GGAGATTAATCAGAACTGGCTTTGACAAGCACTGTGGCAATTGGACAATTAAAACAGACATTGAGGGGCGGAAGAAGAACGAACTGGGGATGAGGGTGGAGAAAACAGTGCAACAATGAATGAATGAAAACCCAAAATCTCTGTAAATGTTCATTAAAACTAATAAAATTTAATTAAAACAAACAAACAAACAAAATGTTTAGTACAAAAAGCAGTGTTTCTCAAACTATCATAGGTTGTTTTTTGCTAAAAATGTCTTATGTATTGCTAGAAAAGATTTCCAAAATGCTCTTTAGTTTTTGTTCTTCTGTCATAATGGTCCTGTAACAACCTGTGTGCTAGCACTGGTCAAAGTAGCACACATTCAACAGCAATGTTAGAGAATAATATGAATATAATGAATCCAAAATGAACACGCCCATATCTGAAAGACCAGAGAAGTGAACAAAATGGCTTAAGCTCAAGAGATATCTCCTCTTAGAATTTTCTGGATGAGAATCGTATGGTTCTTGTAGGATAGTAATTTGGCTTAATCTTAAAGGATTAACAAATAGCAACCAAAACAAAATCAGATTAACTTTTTTTCCCCACTTGCTTGCTAAATACGTACTCCTGTAAATTTTTCTTTTCAGAGAAAATCTAATTTTTTCTACGCTAATTAATAATTTGTTTTACTATTATGTCTATCATAATAATATGCGATAGACATAAAAATATGTTCCCATTATTGAATAATGGAGAATACAAAGAAATAGTAATCTAACTACTATTAGTACCATCACTTCTAAAAATAGTAACAGCTAACATGGAGAATTCTTACTGGGGATTTACTTACATAAACCATGTAACAATCCAACAAAGTAGGTTTATCATTTGCTTCATTTTACAAACAATAAACTAAATAAATAAGGAGCCCAAGGTCACAGAGTTATTAAACTAAAAACCAAATAATCTTACTCCAGTTGTCCAATCCCACACACTAAACTTCATGATCTCTGAACAAACTAGACTGAAAACACCTTTCTGGCAGCATTGGTGATATGTGCACACTAACCAAAATGCATTATGTATCCCTGGCACCAAGCATAGGGTTCTGATTCACACAATAATAGGTAGTCAGCTGAACTTATTTTAATCAGTAAATGCTTTGAGGATCCTTATGGTAATACTAAAGTCTACTGGTAAATGATGCCAGAAAAGATGTTGGTCAATTTAAAAGATGAGGCAAACTATCTCAACAACTGTCAGCTATCATCTCATGCCAGCTATCATCTCCTAACAACAGCAAAATTCAATAGGGCAGCAAACAACAAATGCTGGTGAGCTTGTGGAGAGACTAACTCATACATCGCTCCTGGTACAATGTAAAATGATACAGCCACTATGGAAGACAGTCTGGCACTTCCCCAAAAAGATGGAACTAGAAATACCATTTGACTGAGCAATTCCACTACTGGGAATATATCTTAAAGAAACCAGAGCAGCGACTCAAACAGATGCATGCACACCCATATTTTACTGCTGCATTATTCACAACAGCAAGACATGGAAGGAACCCAAGTGCCCATCAATAAACAAATTGATAGATATAGTACATTACATAATGCAGTATTATGCAGCAATTAAAAACAATGAACTCGTAAAACATATAGGTGAGCCTGGAGGACTTTATTCTGAGTGCAGTACCTCGGTCACACAAATACTGTTATAAAACAGGGCTGACATGAAGGTTTGGGGGAGAACAGGAAGAGTGGACAGATAGCTTTCAGAGATGTTTACTTTGAAGATTTTCCTACTATGTCTGTTAGAAATATTTTTCTTTTTAGTTTGAATATTTAAAATTCTTTTAACAAGTTTACCCAACTTCAATTTTAATCATTTCATACATGGCAAATGAAATGGAAGCCAAAACTTTCATATATATATATATATTTTTAACAGAATATTTAAGCAGAAATGTTAAAGAGCTCAAAATATGATGCACATAGACATGTCCCTGTGTGTATTATATATATATATATGAATGTGTCATTACTGAAGTTTGGATTATTAACAAAAAAGTACTTTTAATTCAGTAAGGAAAATTACAAAATCTCTATTGTGTCCAATTTTAACAGTATGGGAAATAATGCTTTGTTTAACTTTCTAAAAACCAAAGGAATAAGAAACAAATATTACCTCAATAAAAGAATCAATGTGTAACATCAGAGCTTGAGTCCTACTGATGATAAACTGATTAACACATGCAACAGCATGAGACCTAGAAACATAAAACATATGATCACTATAGCTTTTTCTCATTTACACAAGATTAGCAAGAGTTAAATACTCCTCCATTAAAAAATTACGGCAATATATCCATTAAAATTTAAAAATTACAGCCAGAGAAAGATGCTCAATTTCCTGAATGCGATTTACAGCCTCTGAAAACCCACAGAAATGCCAGCTATGAGTAGCGTTCTGATGCCATGTCATCTAACAACAATCCTAACTTCATTTTCCTGTATTTCTTTGAAATAATTTTATTGCATTATGTAACGGAACCATTAGGTCTCTCGGAAGACCTTCAGAGGCAGTAAATTGCATGGGAGGGGAAAGCCCAACCGTCTCCCATGGAGCCACTGGTAGATTTGAATCATGCTGCCTTTGGGATTGCTGCAAAGCTCCTTACCACTAGGACACCAAAACTCTAATGAGATTCTCTAGAAAATTGTAGATAGTATTGCTATTAGGTGCCATCAAATATGACTCACAGTGATCCTATAAACAACAGATTTGAACTTTGTCCTAATCCTGTGCCATCCTTAATCTGACACAGGCGATCTCATTGCTGCTGTGACTGTGCCAATCCACCTGGTTGAGTATCTCCTTTACCATCCTCACACCTTTCCAAGAAAGATGCCCTTCTTCTAGGACAAGCCCCAAGTGTATGAGATGAAGCTTTATCTTCTTTGCCTTCAAAGAACACTCTAGCTGCACCTTCTCCAAGACATACGTTTTTTGGCAGTCTATGGGATATTCAGCATTCCAACACGACAGCTCAAAGGAATCAATTCTTCTTCTGTCATCCTTACTGTCCAGTTCTTAGGAGCACAGCAAGATAATGATCTAAATCAAGTGCACCTTGGTCCTCAGTAATTTGAAGAGGTCCCTGACTGCACTTTTCCAATGCAATATGTCTTCTGATCTCCACAGCTCTTATTTTTATCAAAATTATAAATCTGAATGCAATTCTTGCTGACTTTTGTTACATATTATGTTAACATTTACCCATGTTTGTCATTATCTCCTTATTCTGAATATTATTATGTTTCACTGTGTGAATATTCACAACTTAGCTACTTTCTCTTTAAACAGCTTTCCATTGCTTCTAGGTTTTTGCTATTAATAGTGGAGCCTGAAAATATTCTTAATCATGTCATGCACAAGTATCTCTCTCACATAAATGTGTGTATACACATACACACAGAGCAAGTTTCATAAATTAAAAACAAACAAAAAAAACCCCAACACCAAAAAAACCTTACTATTTCCTGAAAGGAAATTCAAAGCAGTTATCCGTCACAAAGGTAATAAAACAGTGCAAAAAATGGAGAACTAAAGGAAAATTTCCTAAGAAATGAATCAACATTTTATAGGTTGTTTTTTTTAAAGCAAAACAAGTGAAAAAGGTTTATTAAGGTGGTGAAATAGAGGAAAGAGGAGGGAAGAGAGGAAAGGGGCCCATTGTAAAGAAGGGGTGAGATGAGACCTTACAGCATGCAGTCAATAGAAAAGAAGACTAAGAGTTACTATTTTTAATCAGGAATTCTTTTACATGCTGTCTATATCCCCAGTCCTAGTCTACTCTTTCCCTACCACACAAAGCATATACAGAAATACCACCTAAGAATAAAAGAGTGGCATTTAGAGCTGATGGCTAGAAAAGCGGTGTAAGAAAATCCCCAGCATGAGTCCTATAGCAGGAGCAATACCAGCTGGTCAAAGCTTTGATGGACAACAGGAAATTATGAAATTAGGCTGTACCTCAAACAGCCAGTTCTGGAAAATTGTTTACTTCAGCTTCCGAAAGGCTGCCAACCCTGGTGGAATGTCACTTAATACAGTAACTGGATGGCATAATGTGTGTGGATTCTCTAGGAGCAGCATCTAAGAAATCATGGCTGAAGGACTGAACACAGGAAATCGGAGATTGGCTGCTGGCTCTAACTTCACTCTCACTTTGATGCCACTGTGAAACATGATGATCCACACAAGTAGCAGTGCTCACCATGGTTACTAGTAACACTCTGACCCTTGGGTTGCCAGAGGGACCAATCTGAAACAAGTGAGATGGAATTCTGAATCTGTTCCAATCACACATGTTAACAGGAGGCAGGTTGCTGGATTTAACAGATTCCAAAAAGACATACATCATCGACCAGAAATGAGATCTGGGAAAATGGCAAAGAAGCCAATGAGCCAGTCTTTTATGGTCAACCTGGAAAAGACTTAGTACCTAGTGGTATCTTCCGGGATACTTTTAGGGGAAACATAATTGTAAAGGCCGGGAAAGGGCTCTGATGAGAAGATCCAGCAAGTTCCTTTATACAAGACTCTGATCACCATCACCTGGCATCATGTTTAGGGCAACCTTGTTTCTTAACAAGGACATCACTGATCCCTAAGAACACCAGGTCCTGATGACATAAACACAGTCCAGAGTCAATGTGCTCAAATCTAGCGTCCATCATCCCAATTATTCAAGGGGCAATACTTCATGCAGCCTGGTGGACTCAAGATTATGAAGACAAACATGCCATCATCTCCTGTACACAATTCCCTGAGTAAGGAAGTCTTCTGCCTGAAGAATCTTCACAAGTGAATCATCACTTCCTAGATGCCACTTGCCAGCAAGAATAGCTCAGGCCAGAGTTATTCATGCATGACCTGAAGGGCCTTCTCGGTCTAGTGGGACCTGCCCCGGTCTTTGATACAAGTTCAACCCTTCCTGCAGCACTTTCTTAACTATGGCATTCTTCAACATTTGACTTTTCTTATTCTTCGTTCATTAGATTCTCCATCAGCTGATTCACACAAAGATCCACAGAGTGATGCTCTTCAGAAGCCTTGTTTAAGTTTTCTTCTTCATCATCAAAGATGGAGCTCTTGGGTCAGGGAAAAGACAGGGTTAAGATGGTTCACACACATGTCCAACAGAGATAAAACATAGAAGAGCTTCCTTCTCTTACAGAGACTGTATCTTATGGGGGGAAAAGCCAGGATGCAGAATTTGGGCTACTGGAATCAGTGTTGACTTGTTCACAGAAATTCTGTATAGCCAGTCAATGCTAAGCCCATATGCTCAAGTTAGAGTAAATACTATCCAATGCTATCACTGTTACATCTGAGGTTTTCCACCAAACTCGGTCCTTTCTGCCCCTTTTATCTACTGTTGAAGCAAGGAATGTTCTGAGGGGAGTTTTGTTACTAAAGAAATATAAATTTCTTTTATGTAGTAAGTGTAATCCTTGTAGAATGTCCCATATTCTTTGCAGATGACACGCACAAAAACAACAGGCACTCAAAATAAATGTGGTTAGACTGTTATCAGAGCTTATAAACTAATTTACCATTAGATATATAACATACCTTATTTTTGGACTACTGTGCTTGAAGAACTGTAAAAATTTGGGAATCATGATGTTGAGAGGACGATCTAAAACATCACTATCTAAAATCTCAGCAGAATCTTCACATATCTTCTGAAGAGCGCCAAAAGCTCCCTGTAAAACACATAGACTTAAATTATAATTCTAACATTTAAGGTGCAACCATTGGTCTCTTTCCTCAACCAGAGAAAAGAAGAGTAAAGATTAATGAAAGGTTAAGTCCAAAGTGGAAGAAAAATGGGCAATCTCCTCCTTTGTGATGTATAGCCTCTGAAAAGCCAGTTCCAACTCAAGAGCACATAACCGTTAGTCCAAAAGACTAATAAATCAAGTGAATGTGAAATTCGCTGTTAAATTTAAAGTCTATTTGCTTTATAAACTTTCACAGAAATTACAGTAAAAAGTTAATAAACATCAAGAAAGCCATTTTAAAAACAAATTATAGATTACGTATTGTGACTGGAAAGTATGCTGTTAGGGAACTCTCCAAAGTACTGAAGAGCAATGGTGTCTCTCTGGAGACTAAAGGTGCATCTGATAGAGGCCATGGTCTTTGCAATCACTTGTTATGCATCAGAGAGTTGGACAATGACTAGGGAGGATAGAAGGAGAATTGATGCTGTTGAGCTGTGGTGCTGGAGAAGAGTATTGAGGGTGCCATGGACTGCTAAGAAAACAAACAGATTCATCCTGGAGAGGGTTAAACTAGGCTGGTCCTTGGAGGCAAGGATTCTGGAGCTTCGTCTGACATACTTTGGACATGTAAGAAGGGACCAGTCGTTGGAGAAGGACATCATGCTTGGGAGGGTAGCGGGAAGGCCCTCTACGAGGTGGACTGATTCAGTGACTGTGGTAATGGGGATGGGTATATCGGAGACAGTGCGATTGGCACAGGACAGAGCAAAGTTAAGGCTGTTATACATAGGGTCGCTATGAGTTGCAAGTGACTCAATAGCACATAACAACAACATAGATTACTGACTTAACACGGATTAATGCTCTTAGTTAACGTATACAATGCTTTCTCAAATCTATATATTTAGTCTATTTAAGAAAAACCAAAACATAAAACTCACAATTCTATTATCTATCATTTCAGTTTAGCTTTAAAGTAACAGTACATTTTCACCTCAGGATTGACAGACTGAAAGACTATTCAGATGAACAAAGGATAAAACATATAGGTTATATACTGTCAAGGTGAAACTGACTCATAGCTGGGTTTTCAGAGGCAGTAAATCACCTGGGAGGAGAGGGCCCATCTTTCTCACACACAATAGTTGGTGGATTCAAACCGGGAGCTTTTGTATTGGTAGTGCAACTCCTAACCATCAAGCTACCAAATTACTCTCTTCCTCTTAAACACATGCAACTTATCAAAACTCCCCTGAAATATCAGTTACCAGTTTATTAAAGCAGAATGTGATACAGCTATATAAATTTAATACTACACTTCTACATATAAATCTAACTATTCTAACATTTGAAGCACATAAACATGCCTTTATCAATACCACTTAAAATTACTGCATTTAGAAAAATGAGTAAATGGGGGGAGGGGGTAAAGAAAAAAGTGCAACAATGAATGAATGAATGAAAATCCAAAATCTCTGTCAATGTTCATTAAAATTAATAAAATAAAAAAAAAAAAGGAGTAAATGGTTCACTGGGTAACTGTACTGGCAATTATTAAAAGTACAGGCAATTTACCTACAGATATTTTTATGTTAAAGAGACTCTTGCAATCAGTAATATATCATCTACCACAATGACCTACTTTACTATTCATAAGTTGGTGCTTATTTATCACACTGCAACTAATTTTTAAAAAGCATTCAACAGAGGGCAAAATCCCTTGAGGCAATTTATCCAGTATCTTTCTAAAGTATATAACATCTTAAAAAGGAGTAAAAGTGGAGATTTAAAAAGTTCAAATTTAATTAAAAATATTGAAATTCAGTGAAATTACCAACATATATTTAAAAATGTTAGAACAATAATTAAAATCACAGTGAGTAAAAATCCATGTGAGAATTACTATTTAAATAAACATAGTTATGTATGGATGAAAAATTACTTTGTAAACTTCACTCAAAAAAGAAAATGAAAACTGCCATAATATGTAGTAAGGATTTATGTTGCCTTTAAAAATTTTAATTTTTAAATCCTTCTCAAAGTAAAACTGAATATGAACCTGTTATAGCAATGAAAATTTCAACTAGGAGTTAACATTTAGTCAATAAAATGTAAAACTCCTTTGGATTCACTCTTTTACTTAGGTTAGAAAATTTATTTAAAATAATTTCTCTATATAACAACTACCACCACCACCACCACCACCACCTATATATAGGTCCATAATTTCCTACTGATATTTTTTTGGTTTTTAAAAATGCTTGCATCAAATTATTTCCTTTGCTATTATTAGTAAAGGGAAACCATTTTAATCAGCTTTTTTTATGGTTAATAGTATTATTTTAGTTTTTAGCAATCTTCTGAGCTCATTTTCAAGGAATTATCATAAAATTCGTAAAGTAATGCAGAGATTTTTGCTTTTAGAAAGGCAGACTAGATAGTTGACACCCTGGTTTCTTTTTGAGAGATCATTCCTGTACCTGTCTTGTGCCCAACTCCATCTCCAAAAGTCCAGTTTTATCTAAGAGAAGATAATCTCTGCCTTAAAGTGGTAAAATGTTCGCAAAGGTTTCAACAGAATTCTACACATCTGGAAGTCTAGTAATGGCAGATATACTTGAAAGACAGAAATTACAGGAAAGTAAATCCATATAGATTCGCTCCCTTTCTTAAATAGGAAGATGGCTTTGTCCAGATTTGATCAAAAAAGTAATAGGAGTTAATGCACGATTAAACTGCTATTGTTAGGTGCCACTGAGTTGACCATAACTTATAGCCAATCTAAATCTTGTCCTATACTGTGCCATTCTCTTCATTTTTATATCATGCTTAGAAAGGTGGAGGAGGGTCAGTTAAGAGAAGATGACCCTCCACAAGATGGATCTATATAGGGACTGTAATAATGGGCCTAAGTATATCAAAGATTACTAACACCAGAAAACTAAAAATATCTCAAGACATGTCACCTAGTAAAGGGCACATAAAAACTAGTCTAACCATTATATACACATACACCCCCCAAAATAGTTTCAGAATATAAACAGATACGCTTTTGTAGGAAATACAGTCGAGAAGTTTTACAGCTAGATTTTCTCAACTATAAAAACAGGAAAAATAAATGATCAGCCAAAAACCATTTATGGAAAATAGGTACTGCATTGGAACATGTATTTCTGGTTTGGAAATGATGATACTTCTAGCCTTAAGCTTAAAAGATTGTAATGTTCAAAATTATTTGCTATACATTTGCTTAAATTTTTTCCCTCTTTTAACAACTGGGATCTAGAGGGAAGAGAAAAGACCAGAGAATGGCCAAAATTATTAGGGCAGCTATTGCTGCCAGTTTAGGGCCTGTATCAGGAAAAGGAAGTCTTACTCATATACAGTGCCACACAAGGGTAATAAAGGAGGTCAGAATTGCTTCCACTGTGGAAAGCTGGGCCAGTTGAGTAGACAGTGTCACAGACGAGAGCCACAGATAGGCAAGGGAGTAGAGAGGAAGCTCCCACTCACTTGCTTTAAGTGTGGCTCTGAAGGACACTTGGCCAAGGTAGCCCACATCAGGTCCTCGTGACAGACAGGACTGACAGGCCCCAGCTCCCAGCTGGAAACAAAGGAGGACGCTTCAACAACGATTTAGATCCTCCCAGAAGAGCTGTGGATGAGCATTAACTGGTAAGTATATTCGTTTTCTCCTGGACACAGAGCCTACTAATTGGTCCTAAAAGGCTTCTGAGGTCCCACTCTTCTTACTATTTCGTAGTTGTTGGAATGGATGGAAAACCTCATAAGAAGATCCTTACTTCACCTCTACCTTGCATGCGAACTTCCGAGTTGTAAAACAACCCAGTGGTAGATGGAATTTGCTCCAGGACTTAAGAACCATAAATGACAGCTGAGCCTCTACATCTTGTGGTTCCTAACCTATACACTATAATAGACAAAGTGCTAGTCTATAGGCCTTTTATTGTAAGAACCATCTTACCTCTGTAACTTGATTTGTGCCACTATTAGAACCTCTACTCAGAATATTACTGCTTTTCAATTTTTGACTCATGCACTTTTAACTTGTTAGTTAAATTTGTATCTTCTAGGCTGCAACACTTCCATGATACATCTTCAAGGATATGAACATGTACGGCTAAGCACAACTGATAACAGTGCATCTAAATTCCAAAATCAATCTCCATAATAGTCTATGTGTTTCCTACTGCCAAAGGGGCCCTTTAGAGTAGTGAGAGAAGACCTTCACCCTGAAACCCACAGCGTCCCTTTTCAGCAGGAAGTAGCTAAGAGAATACGCCATCCCCTTTTCCTTATGAATCAGGGTGAAGTCTCTCTCAGGGAGGAGTGATAGGGAATGGTAAGGGACACACTGACAAAGGAGATTAATCAGAACTGGCTTTGACAAGCACTGTGGCAATGGGACAATTAAAACAGACATTCGGGGGGGGGGGAGAAGAACGAACTGGGGAGGAGGGTGGAGAAAACAGTGCAACAACGAATGCATGAAAACCCAAAATCTCTGTAAATGCTCATTAAAACTAATAAAATTTAATAATAATAAATGATCAGATATACAAGACACAAAGGCAATTTTAGGATTCTAAGTTCTGAAGTTGTTTCAGAGCAGACAAAAAAACCCTTCCCTAAAGGTTACAAAATGACAAGAGATAGATAAAAAGAGGATATATAAAGCAAATAGCCTTACTTCACAGGTGTTGTAATCTTCAGAATCCAGCAGGCTGCAGAGTTTTGGTAAGAGATCAGGCCAATTCTGCAATTCCCCCTTGGAGGCTATGGTTGTAATCAAAATACCTTGAAAGAAAACACACATCTTTAGAAAAGTCAACTTCATTATCTTAGACACTGCTGTAAAAGCCAGTTTGCGTACTTAGACCTTCACCCTGCCCACTGTAATGGTATAAAATGAGTAAGACTTTCCAAACCAATGTCAATACCTACACTACATTTTTGGGGGGGGGGGGGGGAGTAGGGTAAGGGATGGATCACAGATAAAGCACACCCGTTTCTAGTCTTGTTTCCTAGCACTTCACAAACTTAAAATTTTTTAAACCAAGTTATCTGTACAAGACTACAACTTGGGTTTTCTTCAGCATTATCAATGAGAATAGTGCCACTTACTAAAATTAATCTTTAAAAAAATAACTCATATGGAAAAGAGCAGAATGAAACTACCAAAATGTTAGAAGGATTTACCACTCAGCGATGAGCTTATGAATACTTTAGGTTCAAATAAAAGATATCTTCAGAAGCCAAACACAGGGAGCTTCTTGACTTAACCTATGATTATCAAATTAACACTATAGTTTTACTGTTCGTAATATTCCTTCACGTATACAAGGAAACACTAATAACACTTCCTAGATCGAGGGTGATCATCTCAGGACAATTTTCTATTTGTCCAATGGATTATTCATATGGTCATTAAAATGCGATCCATTCATGTATACTTCTTTGACAAGATTCCCCATATATACTATTAAATTTGAAAGAAAAGGCAAAGTTGTATAGAACGATACATTATGAAACAAATTTTAAAAATATTTAAAAAAGACTACGTGCTCCTGATCCAGGCCATGGTCTTCACAATCACTTATGAAACATCCGAGTTGGATAATGACTAAAGATGACAGAAGAACTGATGTCTTTTGAGTTATAGTGTCAGAGAAAAGTTCTGAACATTCCATAGACTGCCAAAGAACAAACAGGTTTGTCCTGGAGAAGGTGAAACCAATTTTCTCCTTGGAGGCAAGGAATTTGAAGTTCCTTATGACATACTCTGGGCACGCTGCCACAAAGGACCAGTCCCTGGACAGGGACATCATGCTTGGAAACGTGGAGGGACAATGCCAGAGAGGAAGACCCTGGATGAGATGGACTGACTCAGTGACTGGGGTAATGGAATTACATGTGATAGTAAGATTGGCTCAGGATAGAACAGGGTTCATTTCAGAGCTACGGTGCATAGGGTCACTATGAGTTATAAACAGCTTGATGGCATAGAACAAGATACATATTAAATAAGATACATAGAAATATTCAAACTGCCTTTTATAACTGTACTTGTTATACCAGTAGACTTTTTTAACAACTAAGTAATTTGCTTCTGTAATCAAAATCTTTTTAACACATGACCCTTGCCTTTAAAGCAGTCAAGCAAGTATTCTCAATGTGAGTCTTTTCTCACCTCCCACATACCAGGGACCGGCAATTTGTAGTGTTTAAACATTCTGTGGTTGTCACAACAAAGGTCTTGTGTTATTAGCATCTAGAGTGTAGAGATTGTGGATGATGGTTAACATCCTAAAAGGCACAGGACAGCACAGCAGTTAACAAATAAAATGTCAATAGTGCAAAGGCGGAGAAATTCTAGTTAATTAATTAAACCTCTCTTAAAGTGTTAAAGATTGGAGCTCTGGTGGCCTTGTGGCAAGAAGGTGCACTGCAAATCCAAAACCAAACCAAATGGTTCAACTGCTCCGCAGGAGAAGAATGGGAAATCTCTCATGTGATTAAATGCCTCTGAAAACCCTTTGGAGGGTCAGGTATGGGTCAGTTCGAACTCGATGGTACACAACAAGGCGTTGAGGAACAATGAAATAAATTTTAACACTCAAGTGCATCTAATTCAAATCATGGTCTTTTCAATTATTTATTTAACCGAAAGCTGGATGACCAAGGATGAAATAGAATCATAGATGTGGTGGTGGAGAAGTGTACTGAGTATCTCACAGACTGCCAAAAAGCCAAAGAACTGTGTCTTGGAGAGAGTGTAACCAAAAGAGGTCATTAGACACAAGAATGGTAAAGCTTCACCTCACAAATTTTGGGCCTGTTATTAGGAGGAGCTGATCCCTGGAAGAGGACATCATGCATGGAAAGGTGAAATGTCAGTGAAAGATGGAGCAAGATGGATTAACACAGTGACTGCAACAACAGACACAAGTCTATCAGAGAGAACACAATTTCTAACAGACCAGGTGAGATGTGTAACTACACAACAGGTATTGCAATGGCCAAGAATCAATTCAGATCTACTATACTGAAGGTGGAGAATTCTACCAATGAATCAAATCACCTCGTGTCCCTATATTTATGCTATGATACATTTATTAAGAATTTTCTATTAATGTTAATGATTGATAAAGAGTCAGTTTCCAATTATTATAGATGCAGGCCTGAAAGTGATACTATTTGACTTTTAAAAGATCATTCAAAAAAATAAACATTTTTCAAAACGTTAAGATATTTAAAAATGTGAACCATGACTAAGCAATTTAAGAGATTAAAAGAAAAATTGAACACTTGCGTATTTCTACTGTGCTAACAGCTGTGCTTGTTCTCAACTCTATACTAGTTGCTGTTGTAAGTAAACTTTTTTATTTACTTAAAACTGGAAAACGTAAGTTGGTTTTTCATGGACAAATGCTCTAAAAAGACTAACAAAACAAATAAACAAAACACCCCCCCCAACAAACTCAAAACAACTGCTGCACACAAAAATTTAAGATGCAGACAAAGCTATTAATAAAAACCACTAAATCCTGAAGGATTGAGGCCCCATGTTGACTAGATTGTTATGTACCACTGAGTTGTAATCAACCATAGCTGGCCCTCTGCAACTTTACAGGGGCTATAAATCACACAGAAGGAGAACGCTCATCTTTCTCCTACGGAGCAGCTAATTGGTGGATTTGAACTGCCTGCCTTTAGCTTGGCAGCACAACTCCTTACTCACTAGGTCAACAGTGATTTCTGTTTCACTGGGTAAGTAGGCTTTTATTTTAAATGTCTGCCAACCTACTGTCAGTTTGTGGTGCTGTGGTCACTTAATATGCTGCCATGATGCTAGAAACCATCCTATTTTATTTTAAATCAGTAGGGTCATCAGTGGACATGTTTTAGTAGCTCTTTCATCTTATGCAAGGAGGGAAAAGGCCTGAAAATCAATGTCCAAAAATCAGACAGTGGAATCCTGTAAATGACAATAGCATACTATCTGTTTAAAGCTCAAAGACGAAACCCCCACCTCCATATGGAAATACAGCGGCTGTAACAATGGACTTGAATAAACCAACAAATGTGAAAAATGACAAAGTACTGGGAAATGTTTCATTTATTTGAGATGCCAAGAATTCAAGCAAACTTGATGGTAGATAAGATGACTAAGTGTAACCCTGTAAGTGGCAAAAAATTTACCTTCTTTCCCAATTTCACATGCAATGACAACAGCATTGGAATGGAAATATGGAAATATTCTGATATATCTATTAACAATGTAACTTACCAACAGTAGCTCTAATCAGAGGAGAGGCATCACCAATATTATTCAAACATTCACTTTTAATAAAATCTGTTACACCATTGGGGAAGTTCTGAAAATGTGCTTTCACATTATTCTTCAAGATGAGACCACTTAATGATCTTGTTGGTTCATCTGTAACAAAATAACAGTTCAGTGGTTTAGTTTCCAAGTCAGAATATATCAACTTGAATCAAGAAATCTCAGTACTTCACTAATTTTTCTATAATCAGCAAAGAGTTCATAAAAGATCAGCTACATGATTTAGTCCAAGGTTTCTCATGACCTTTACTTTTGCCATTTTGGGCTGGATGGTTTTGTACTGTTGGAGGCTAGCCTACACACCTTGGGATGTTCAGCACTATCAAACTAGCTTTTATTTCTGATGCCAGGAGTATCCCTCAAGATGTGACATTCAAAGATGTTTCCAGTGTTTATGTCTCCTGGAGGGCAAAACTGCCCATGGTTGAGAGTCACTGATTTTGTTTGAAAGTTCGTTTATTATATATGAACACTGTACTTAAGCTTATTAGAAGCTGGCAAAAACATCCTATTACAGATAATGTTAGTTCTTAAAAATATTCTATTTTAAAAAAGAAATGAACAAAAATGTTTAAACATTTTTACTTATAAATATATTTGCTTTTAATATACAGTATGTTTTTCACTTGCCTCTGAGCTTTAAAATGGTAGGGGAAATTACAAAACCATTTAAAAATAGAATTTGTTTTTAGAAAAGCTTACTTATAGAAGGTGTCAAGTTTTCAAAAACCAATTCAACACTCAAACCAACTCAAACCCATTTCCACTGAGTCAGAACCAAACATAGCTGCCCTCCTCCATTGAAACTGCATGGGAGTAAACTGCCCATCTTTTGTTTCTTGGAGTTGCTGGTGGAGTCAAACTGCCAGAATGGCTTGGCCTTTACCAACTGACATCACCACCACCTGTATTAGCAATAGTGATCATTTAAAGGTTTACTGTGTACTTAAATAAAGGTATATGCTTTCTAAACAGTACTGAACTTCATTCTCACCTCAGGAGACAGGTTAACCATTGCACCAGTGAAGCCTTTATTAATATTACAAATTACTAAAAGGGGAAGTCATATGCCAACTTGAGGAGCCGACTTCTGAGCCTACACTTTGGAACTACTCTGTGTCACCTCCCTCTGTAAAGGGGTACCAGGCACAAAAGGTTATAAAAATGTGACATTATACACCACTACAATAGCTGAATAGTAAGGATTAGAACCACCAACTCAAAACTGTATGACCAGCTGCTCTGCAGGAGAAAGATGGACAATCTCTTCCATGTAATATACTACTTCTAACAATCTGCTGGAGTCAGTTATGTGGTCAGTTCCAATTCGATAGTATCTTACAATAGCTTTATATACCTTAAGAAATATATCTAAATTTGCTCTAGTTAGTATACTTTCAAAAGTTCAACTACCCATCCACTGCTGTGAAGTTGATTCAGACTCAGGAGCAACCCTCCAGTTGGGCTTTGAAGCCGCAAATGTTTACAAGCAGAGATTGCCCCTGCTTCTCCTTCAGAGAAGCTGGTGGATTCAAACCACTAAATTTCTGGTTTGTAGGACAACATAACACACAACCAGGACCCCCTTTAAGTTTTACCAGCACTGAAATAAATATTCAAGGATGTAGCACATGCAGAGGCAAAAAGACAGCCAAATGCCTCTGGATAGTAACTCCATGTTAGGCCACCACTACAAATACAACTTAAGATATGTCATCATTAAAAATTGTCTTTCCAATTTCATTTGTAACTCACTGCTGTAGGTTTCTAGAAATGTAACAATACACAATTGCTTCTCACTGTGAATAATTCTCTTTAAAATTTAAAACTAGCATGAAATACTAGTAAAAGAATTTCCCTAAGCAATAATCTTCTGCTTTATCTCATTAAATTAGCTTTTAATAATTCATAACTCTGTAATTTATTTTAAATGGTTTATATATTTGTTTATAAGAAAAACACTAGAGTCCTTATAATAAAGGTTTCAAGGTAAAGTTTTATTAATAAACAACAGGAAGCAAAAGCATTTAAAATTAAATGTGTATCCTTTGTCCAAAATCTTTTTTTTAAATCACCACTTTTTAAGAAAGAAGTGAAATTACCCTGTGCTACAATGTATTCTTATGTAAACTGAGTGACTTAATTTAGCCTAATCTTTTCCAGATTTTACATCATTTAGAATATAAAAATGTCTGAAAAAATGATGACAAAATTAACAAGAATCGTTTTCAAATGTCACTAAAACGACAATTTTTTTTAAAAAAATGAACATTCCCAATAGCAAATGTGTTCCTTTTCCTGAGGTAAAAATTAATTTGTAAATTCAAGATTAGCATATATCACAAACATAAAGATCAATTGTGTCTATGTGAAGGGGATGAGGAAGAGATACAGTTTAACGGTTAAGAATAGTAAATATTTTTCACCACCATTTTATGGTTAAAATGTAGAAGTTAAAGGTGAGACCAGGACTGAGAACAGATTAGCAAAAATAATTTACAATTTTTAAGGTAAAACAGTTAGAAATTAGAAAAGATGCTATTAAATAATGTATCATATTTATACTTATCAAGCTAGGAATATTAATTGTTGAAATAAAAGTTATGCAGAAAGAATTTCCAGTTTCTTAAAACCTACACTTAAAATTTAAATTTTTTACATCTTTCAATTACAACTTTAAACCTCCCAAGAAACCAGAAAATTATTTGAAAGCTAACAGTAAGACTATGTGTATGGATTATCAAAATATTAAAAAGGTAAGATTTTTCAGTGAGATTTTAGTCCAGATTATGACCATGAACCCAAAAGAACTCGATACTGCAACCTTACAGTCTTTAGTATACCATGAGCACTTTAAAACTGAAAAAAAGGCAAGAGAAGTTAAATGAAATATAAGTGCTTAATAGGGTCTAAAACACACTTCTCAACTCCAAAGTGCAGTATTTTTAACTAAATGCATTAGTGCTTGCAAAACACTAATCATTAAACTTGTTGTTACATTGGAATTGACTCATAGCTAACTCTCAAATGGGTTTTCTGAGGCTGTAATTGATATAGATTGCAGCAGTTTTTTATCACAGGCCAGGAGAGACTGGACTGTAATTTACATGGGAGCAGTGTGTCCATCTTTCTCTCAAGTAGCGCTAGCTGATGTTTGGGCTGGCAGGCAGCTCCATACCACTAGGCCACCAAAGCTCCCTATTTTCATTTAGAGGCCAGTCAGTCACTCAGTAAATATTTGAGGGTCTTCTATGTATTAGAATGATCTAGGAAGGGAAAACTCAACATTCAAAGGATGGATGCTTTGAAAGACATCCTTCATACTGGAAGTTCCAGGCGGGGAGACTCTCAGTTAAGTTTTTAAAAACTTCAAGTCTATGGGGTTGGGGAGGGGAGAAGACCAGTCAATGAAGATGATGATCCCATTTGTGGTTAAGAAAAATTTAAAATACAGGCATACAAAGGAGTGTGGCGGTGAGCTTTCTTTTTCCTTATATGTGTTTTCCAATTTTTTTAACAATGCACACACACATACTGCTTATAAGAGACTAAAACCAAATTTATTTGTATATTCATAAATAGTATCTTAACTCAAACTATGCCATTTGTGTAGAAGGCCTGAACAAAAACTCCAAAGTAGACTTTAAAATATTTTTTCATTTGCAAAGGAGGAAATTTACTAGAGAAACATCTCATTAACAAACGCATGCTTGTTAAAACACCTAAAAGTCTAGGAAATAGTAACTCTTAAGCCTCTGTCAGTCCTACAACTACAACATGTGATTACTACAAAACTGAAAACCTTTGAAATGAATGAATTAGACTATATTATTTTGACTGTATTTTTCAAATATAATAAGACCACATGAATATGTATGCATGCTAAGAGTGCACATAGGAAACTAATGTATAAAAGACTGCACTGTGTACAGTCTGTAACCACTAAATAATTAGGATATTATTTGCATAAAAATGTGGTATTTTAACAGATCACAAAATACCATTTTAAATATTTATCCATAGAAACCTACTTACCTTCAGATTTTAATTTTGTGAGGACAAAAATCAGGTAGTTGTTAAAATCTGGGTATTGATTAAGCTGTTCCAGTTTCTAGAACAAGCAGTAGTTAAGGAAACTTCTCAGTATATTCTAAGGAAAAAAGGAAGCACTTTTGTAATAAAATTAAAAAAAAAACCTGCAACCTTTTTTAAGCCTTGCATTTTCACTAAGAAAGCTAGCTCATTAAATCTATGCATTAATATACTAACATATTAGTGGTCATTAAATATCTTAGGTGCTTTATGACTGAATTAAAAGTATAGTAGTATAGCAATTATAGTCACGTTCCAGTTTCTGCATGCTTAACAGCACAATTTTCAAAACCAAATTCTTTGATTTACTAGAACTTTTAACATTCTGATCAGAAGGGTATTTAAGGATAATGAAGAGAAAAAAAAAGAAGTCTTTTAGAGATACAGATATTTTAGGAAAATTAACTTCACATAATAGACCTTTCCTTCCCTTTTTACCTAATAGATTTTTAAGAATAAATACAATAGCAATCTTTCATTAGATGAATTTGTTCTTTAGGTGAAAAAAAAAAAGACAAAATGTCATTTATGCAAAAAATTCAGGTATCAGATCTTATTATAAAGAGCCAGTATTAGGAGATTATTGCACTGTAACAGTTCTACAATTGTTTCCCCCCAAGATTTAACATTTCCAGAGGCATAAATTTGCCGGTATGTCACTGCTGTGAACAGGCAACAGTGACATAATGCTCTATTATATCTTTCTTGACATCCTAATTTCCAATATACTTGTCAATTTTGTTTATAACTCAGATACAAATGTTTTTACTCAGTGGACCTGAATTTCTCATTAAACCCATGATGAACACTCTTGGTATACCTATTAGGTATTTATTCTGTATCTGAATACTCTCAATGTTTACAAATTGGCATGTAAATTAACTAGCAAAATACATTCTCTAGTAAAATTTCAAGGTCTAACTACTTTCTCTGACTAAAAACACCAAGACAAATGATTTCTTGTTTAAGTGAATAGCTATGATTAACAGCATACTGACATGTTATAAATTTTTCATAAATATTTCCTAACAAGGCTTATTTACAACTTATACTATCTAGTCATACTTTAACAATCTTTCTAATATGCTCAAGTAGTTATGAAAGTCAGCAATAGGATATGGAACGTGGCTAATTTACTCCAGGCACAACTGCTTTCCTTTGCAGACCAAAACTGGATGGTGCGTGTCTACCATTACAAAACATTTTGACTAAATTTCACAGAAACCTCTTTATGATGGGGTTGAGCACACTTTGTAAATACATTAAATTTTTATGGAGTCTAGACTCTCTGGAAATATGAATGCTAAATGGATCCCTGAAACTATTGCTCTTAGATAACCTTTACATTTTAAACAAAAAATAGTCCCTGAAATCTTAAAATAAGTTTATCTTAACAAACTCCTACCCCAAGTCTGTCTTGAGTGTTATGCTCTCTTAATGTCACTAAACTATACACGTAGAGACTTGTTTTCTGTGTTGTTGCTATGGATATCTCAATAAGGAGGAATGATGGCCTAGTGGTAAGAATTGTGCTGTCAACTCAAAAGTCTCGTGGTTCAAAATCCACCAGCTGATCAACAGGAAAAAGATGGATATAATTTCTTCTAATTTACTGCCTTTGAAAGCAACTGGAAGGTCTGCTATAGGTTGCTTCTGGCTCCAGGGTACTCAAAAACAAAATAAATAAAAAACTAGAGGGGGGTGGGGAGAAACATGGTTTATGAACTAGCACTAGAACATGTATGCATGTTACTAGTGAGATGGGTAGATTCAGAAACTTGTATAGCAATTGAAGTGATAATGTTATGTTCAATGAATAATTAAAAATAAGGCTTATAATCTGTAAACCAAAAAAAAAAGAGTGCAGCACTCAAGTCCATATATAAACTAGTATCAAATACAGTATATTTTATGAAGACAAAACAAAATCAGTATTAGGCACTTTCAAAACAAAAAGCATCATATATTTTGAATCAAATAATGTTCATCAGTAACTATTTAAATTTGCTCTTTAACGGGGCATAGTATTATCAATATGCCAAGAATAAACAGTAAACTTGAATGGTAGTTACAGTACCAGGTATAAAAAGGGTACTGATAAATTTATACAGAAAATAGAAATCAGGATATACACTGCTAAAGAAAAAATGAATATGCAGTTCTAAGCTTGACAAATTTTAGGAGTAACTTATCTTGTAATTCATTAAATACCGGTTTCTATTCTTTCTAGAGCTGTTGAGTATGAAAACAAATTAGGAATGAACCATCATGGGATTTCAGATACATGTTCCAGTACGTCTCCAAACTTTTCTTTCCTTAGTACCAGCTATACTAAAAAAAAAAAAAAAAAGACTTGAAAGAAAGAAAACCAAAAACCCAAGGAAGCGTCCATCACCTACCCTTACATTAGTGGGTAGTATAGTAACCGAGAAGCTAAGTACTTACTCACCTATTAAGAGTTTTAAGTTATAGCTATGCATTTCCAAGAAACTTTTCTTTATCTACGTTTCTCATGTAATAGTAACTTGACCTTATAGTTTTGTATTTAAACAAACTCGTTCAATTAACCAATTCTATCAACTTTACTGCTTATTAAAAACAAAATCAAGGGAACTTTCTCAATTTTAAAGAGATGCCTTAAGGGGTTTTATTCTCCCCTTTTTTTTATAGCATTAATGTTTTTGACCGTAAAATAAAGAGATTATAATAGGGCGAGTTTCCTCTTCTGGATCCAATAAGCTGCGCTTTCAATTTAGGGTACTGCATAAAGTACACGTATCAGAGGCTTTTGACTAACTCTTTCTGCCTCTAATAAAGTAGCAATTGTGCTTCTGCCCAGAAGACTTGGTAAAGATTTAGATTAACTGAGCAGTCTTGCGCTTTGAAAAGAAATTCTGAGAGCCAGGGAGCTCGCAACAGGTGTTAACAAGAGCAGTCCTGGGAGGTTATGAACGGAGACCCCTTTTTTTGCCGCTTGGAGGTCTCCTGCTCTTTAACCGCAGGGAACTATAATTTTTTTTAAAACTCCAGCCCAGGCCCGACACCTCGGCAGTTCAAACCCCGCGCCGGCTCCACCCCATCCTGGCCCGGCGGCAAGCAGCGCCGCGCGCACAGAGCCCGCGAGGCGGCCCACAGCCCCCACCCCGCGGGGCGCATTGTGTGGGCTTGGGGCGTCAGGAGCCCGCACCAGCACCCCGGCCACCCTCCTCGGCTCCGACAGGTCAGAGACGGCGGGGACGTGGCGGCCCGGCCCGCACACATGTCGCGATCACGGGCGGCGGGTAGCAGCCCCCGCCTCCCGCGGGCCGGAAGCAGGAGGCCCCGGCGGCGCGAGCCCCACGCGGCGGCGCCCCCGGCCCGGGCATGAGGGCCGCGTGCGCGTAAAGTCTGGCAGAAGCGGCCGGGCCTCTCCCCGCGGGAGGCGGGAGGGAGGGGGAACCGGGAGCAGGAGGGGGAGGGGCGGCAGGGCCCCCCGGCCGCTGAGAGCGGGCCTGCCGCGCGGGGTGAGCGGCGCGGGCGGCAGCGAGGCCTCTGGAAGGATACTTGTTGCACGGTTCTCTGGATGGTGGTGTCTGGGGACTGGGACTCCTTCAACAGCTGCAGGATTTGCTGAAGCCCTTGCTCGTCAGGTTTCCACTCATACTCCATCTTGGTTTGCTGCAAATAAAGCCAGACACAGGAAGAGACGGAGCAAATGTTACTCTCCGTGCACAGGCCCGAGGACTTCGCGCGCCGAGCAACCCCTTCTCCCGGCTAGAACGACCCTTGTCCTTCCCAGACGCCTCGAACCTGCCTGGGGTGTCCCGAAGGAAGCCTCGGACCGTAAAACCCAGCGGAACTGCCCTTAGCAGCTCAGCCGCCAACGTCTGCAGCTGCTGCCGCGGCCGCCGAACGCAAGAAGCCGACCAGACTGAGTCACCGCGAATTTGCAATCTGGCCCCCAAGATCCGCTCACGGGAGCCCCCTGGGTCCTAGTGCCACGCAGTTTCTTCCAGCTCAGCCCAGCCCAACTCTAGCTCCGACCACAGGATTTCAATTTAAGAGCTAATCTGAAGTCCTCAAGTCATTACCAAAATAGACTTAAGGGCTAATCAAAAGTCCTCAAGTCATCAAAACCGTGGGGAAACACCTGAAGAAATCTGGTTTGGACTACTAATTGTTTTAAGTAAACAAGGTGAAATGGCAATGATTGAAATAGGGGGAACAGGTTGACAACTCTTAATAGTGCAACAATAGTGAAATGCAATAAAAAATATTGGTTTAATATATAAAGCACTAAACATTCCTTAGTTCAGAATACCAAGAAGGCATTGCAATCACAACCACATCTCAAAAAAATATTACGTGAAACATTGGTAAAATTGGGAGGAAAATACTCTTTTCTAGACTTCAACTTTTGACTGTTTAAGTGAAATAAATTCGACCATGAAATAACTACAATACACAACTATGTACTTTGGGCTGAAGAATACAGTAACTTTACCAATGTATTGTTGTTGCTGTTGTTGAACGCCTTCAAATCGGGTATAATTAGACCCTATGAACAAAAGGCCTGAAGCCTTTCTGTAACCGTCCACATTTATCAGTTCATTGAGTTATTTAGGAATTGGATGCCACTCCTTCCAATACCAAAGGATAGTGTTAATATAATTGTTTTCATATACATTTCTCATTCTCACTTTTTCCAGATGAGATATTATTTGCCCTCATACGCCAACTAATGCACAAAAATATCTAAGCAAATTATCAGTTAATTACAGTTAAGATTAAGACTAAACTATATGGGGTTTTGTAGGTATATATATTACTAGCAGTTGGATCTCCTACAGTTAACTGAAATGATTATAATAGTGACACAGTCTGAAACTAACGAAAACATCAACATTGTCACCGTAAGTAATTTGAAAAATCCAAACTCGGTTTGATAAAGAAAACTTTAATATACAACTCTACTAATACTTAATCGTTGGACAGTTGAATTTAGTAGAAATCTCTGCCTAATAGGAGTAACTGCCTCTGAAAACTTATATGAAAGGTCAGCTATGAGTAGGTTCCAACTGGATGGCACATAAACAGTAGGAGCGTAAAAATAAAAAAAATACATCCCAAAACCAACCAAAACAAAAGAACCTCATCTGGCTGGACCTCTCTAGTTAGTATTGGTTTTTTTATACCTAATCTACTTTTCATTTCATTTTCTACTTAATATGCTACAATCTGGCCTTGTTCACCATGTTCTGTTTACTTTGTACAATGCAAAATAGAAATCATATGTACATATACCTATTCATAATATTGCACTTTTTATGCCAGTATTTAGTCTGTGTGTTTGCATATACATTTAATTCTATTAATGGGCTGTCTTTCTTATTGTCTAATTTATGTCAGTAAATATTCATAAAAACATTTAAAAAAATCCTATAATAGTATTCCAGTCTTGTGCCATAATTTTTATAGCCATTTTTCCTGATAAACAGAAAATGGAATAGTTCAAATAAGCAGCATACAACTAGATAGTTTTTACAAAATAAACACACCTGTGTACTTCAACAGCTAGCTCACTATCTCAGCACCAAGTCTCCTTAAGGCCACATCTAGCCCTTAACAAGTTACCCCTACTTTCATTTCAGGGAAATCTGCTGGCCTAATGGTAAGAAGTTGCACTGCAATCCCTAAGAAATGCACTTCAAATCCGCCAGATGCTCTGTGGATCTGTGGGAAAAGTCAGCTCTGAGTCGATCGGTCGATTCCTACTTGATGGTTCCCAACAACATCAATTTTCTTATCTGGCTTTTTATTTCTCTCTTTAATTTTATTAAATATATATGACCCGACGGCACATAACAACAACAAACAACATATGCTGTTGTTGTTATGTGCTGTTCAGTTGCTTGAAACTAACAGCAACCCTATGTACAACAGTCCTAAACCCTGCTCTGTCCTGTGCCAATCTCACTGTCTCCAACACACCCAACCTGATTACACCAGTCAATGAATCAATCCACCTCTCATCAAGGGCCTTCCTCTTCTGCACTGTCCCTCCACCCTCCCAAGCATGAAATCCCTCTCCAAGGGCCGGTCCCTCCTTGCAACAGGTCCACAGTATGTCAGACGAAGCCTCAGAATCCTTGCCTCCAAGGACCAGCCTAGTTTAACCCTCTCCAGGATGAACCTGTTTGTGTTCTTCGAAGTCCATGGTACATTCAATACTCTTCTTCAGCACCACAGCTCAAAGGCATCAATTCTCCTTCTATTCTCCATGATGCATAGCAAGTGATTGCAAAGACCATGGCCTGGATCAGGTATATCTTAGTCTTAACAACAGACTTTCCCATCAAAATACGTCTTTTAATTTCCTGGCTGCTGGTGCTGAGAGTGTTGATCATGGAACCAAGCAAACTAAAGCTGTGAACAATCTTAATCTCTTCACCATCCATCCTGAGGCTGCCAATTGGACCAGTGGTGAAAATCTTTGTCTTCTTGATATTGATTCTCAATCCATATTGAAGGCTGCAGACCTTGACCCTCTGCAGCAAGCGCTTCAGGTCTTCTTCAGTTTCAGCAAGCAGGGGTGTGTCACCTACATAACGCAGATTGTTGATGAGTCTTCCTCCAATCCTGATGCCACACTTCTCCTCACACAGCAGCCTCCTAGATAATCTTTTACAATATAGGTTGAAAAGGTATGGATAGGCTACATCCCTGGCGTACGCCCTTCCCAATTCTGAACCATGCAATGTTTCCTTGCTCTGTTCTGTCGACTGGTTCCTGGTCCAAGTATAGGTTTTGTATTAGCATGATCAAGTGTTCTGGGATTCCCATTCTTCTCAGAGTCAGCCACAGTTTGTTATGATCCACACAGTCAAATGCCTTTGCATAGTCAATGAAACACAGATAGACATTCCTCTGGTATTCCCTGCTTTCACCTAAGATCCATCTAACATTAGCTACAATATCCCTAGTACCACGACCCGTTCTAAACCCAGCCTGGACTTCTGGCAATTCTCTGTTGATGTGCTGTTTTTGGATAATCTTCAACAGAATCTTGCTTGCATGTGGTATCAATGATTTTGTTCTATAATTTCCACACTCTGTTGGGTCACCTTTCTTTGGAATGGGAATAAATATAGATCTCTTCCAGTCAGTTTGCCCGGTGGTTGTTCTCCAGATTTCTTGGCACAACTTGGTGAGCACATCCAACTTAGCATCTGTTAGTTGAAATTTGTCAATTGGTATACCATCTATTCCTGGGGCCTTATGTTTTTGCTAATTCTTTCAAAGTAGCTTGAACTTCTTCCTTCATGTTGTTTCATGAAATTCTTCTGTTTCTGCCAATTCTTTTCTATACAATGACTCTGTATACTCTTTCCATCTTCTTTTAATACTTCCTGGATAATTTAATATTCTACCTAAAGCATCCTTAATTATAGCAACTTGAGGTTTGAATTTGTTCTTCAGTTCCTTGAGCTTAAGAAATGCTGAGTGAGTTTGGCCCTTTTGATTTTCTGACTCCAGCTCCCTGCACATTTAATTGTAATATTTTACTTTGTCATCCCGCGTTACCTTTTGAAATCTTCTTTTGTCTCTTGAATTCTTCATTCTGCTTTGGCTTCTTGGTGCTCTAGTGCAATATTCAGAATCTCTTCTGACATCCATTTTGGTCTTTTCTTCCTCCTCTGTCTTTGTAATGACCTTTTGCACTCTTCCTGAATGATACTCTTGATATCCTCCCACAACTCATCTGGTCTTCGCTCACTGGTGTTCAAGACTTCAAACCTGTTCCTGAGACGTTTCTGAAATTCAGGTGGCATGAACTCATATTTTGGTTCCTGTGGATTTGATTTAATCTTGAACTTACATATGAGTAGTTGGTGGTCTGTTCCACAATCATCTCCTGGCCTAGTTTTCACAGCTGATATTGAGCTTCTCCAGCGGTTCTTTCCACAGTTGTAATCAATCTGATTCCTATGCATACCGTCACGTGAAGTTAATGTGCATAACCTGCGTTTATGTTTGGTCATGCCTCCTGTTCGTTCCAGTTTGCCAGTGGTGGAAAATCTCTGTCCCTGTAATTGATTTACAGCCTCATGAAATGTTGTTGGAGGGTCAGCTGAGTTAGCTCTGAGCTCTGACTCTACAGCAATGAGTGAATATATTTTAAATTATAAAACTATATTTTTTAAAACCACGAAACCCTTTATTATTGTCAAACATGGTTGTATAAGGACCTCAATTCTACCTCCAAACATACTTTCGAAAAGGTTTTAATGTGAATCCTCTACATCTTTCTCTATTCTCAAACAGTTGTGGTTTGTTGTTTTTGTTTTTTTTAAAAAAGTTTGTTTTATTATTTTTTGTGTGTGTACCGTCAAATCAGATCTGACTGGTACAGGAGGAGATTACCCTTCCTTTTCCAGCAGAGGACCTGGTGCATTAGAACTGTGTAGTTCTGGGATTGCAGTGCAGCTTCTGACCACTAGGTCACCAGAGCTCCTGGTTTTTTTTGTTTTGGGTTTTTGGTTTTTTTTTAAAAAAAAAAACCACCCCAAAACACAAAAAAAACCAAAGCAAACTAAAAAACCCTTCAGTTCAGGGAGCTATAATAGACTAGTGGAAAGAAGCTGCGCTGCAATCCTGAAGGATCTGAGGTTCGAGGCCACCAGCTGCTCCACGGGAGGATGTCTTCCTATGTGATTAACTGCCTCTGAAAACCAACTGGAGAGTCAGCTATGTGTCAGTTCTGACTCCATAGTACAGAACAACAACACACAAACTGTATTACTTTAGCATTTTTTAAACACATGTAGAACATCTGTAATTCCAGGCTAACCCATTC